AACTGATAAATCAATGATAATTTTTAATAGAGGTTATTGTTTGACGTATGTTATATACTGTAAATTCTAAAAATAAGTTTTACTTGTTGGATCATGTGTTACGATTATTGTATTCTGAACCAGTACGGTGGTAAAATATATTTTCATGCTCAATATCATCACAAGTGCAGTACTACGATTGAAAAATAAAATAAAAAGAAAAATATGAAATTATTCAACGATTTATTTAATACTAAGGAATATTACTTAACAAATATAAATTAAATTTGTATTAATTCAATATATATTAGTTTTTTTGCACAACAAAATTAGCTATGTTACTTTAAAATTTCTTTTGGGAGATATTTTTTGGATAACTTTTACGTATTCTAATTTATTTTAATGATTTCTTTAGAGAATGTTATTTATAACGTTTCACTATCATCTAGCATTATGTATAATTAAATATTATGTAGGATGATATGTTACTTTAATTGAGTTAGTTTTATAATTAGATCATATATTTCCAAAATATGCTCTGTTAAACTTTGAATATCATAATTATTAGTTCTACTAAACCAGTTCCCTTTATTTTTAATCAAATTTTGCAACATTACGCCAATTATCGTAAACTAGTAAATAAATTATATATATGAAATATCTATTAAAATTTCATTTTATAATTGTATATATAATCACAATATTAAAATGCAAATAATAATTATTTGAATTTTTTTTTTTTTTTGTATTTTATATAAAATAGGTAAATTAATGAATATACTCTCTAAAGGAATGAAAATTTGTTGATATTTTAAATAGATATACTTTCAACATGAGCACATTGTGGTGCTAAAACTTTTTGTTCAGAAGTATCTAAGACAGAATTGATTTGAGGCTTATATAATTTTTTAGGCTCTCCACATTATACTTCATCCAAATATTTACTCTTATTATCATCTTGAGGATACATTCCCTTATATGCATTACAATATATTCGAGAGACAACAGCAGTACATTCATTACGAATTGCATTATTAGCTGAGTCAACATCTTGGATATATATTTCAAAACCAGTTAAAAGAAATAATATGTATTACTAGGATACTCTTTAATATATTCGTGCTCCATATAAGTATCGTGAAATTTTTTCATTTAATAAAAACCTCAATGTTATTGTAACGAAAAATCATACTCCATTTAGGAGATTATCCTGGAATATTTAGTCCTATTCAGCATTCATGGATAACTATATTAAGGAACGATTAATCATTTTTCTTTCTATGTACAAAAACTCCTAACCAATAATAAAAATTATCATACATATATTCCTTCACATTTCTGGATGTCATGAGTTCACGCACGTAACATATAGCTTTTAAAATTTTGTCTATGTGAGGCTAAATAGCGTCATATCTTTTTAATACTGTACGTACATTTACCTGCTGTATATAATAACATGTTTTTTTCTTATGAAACCAGTAATTTATAAAAAGCACTAGAAGAAAACGTCGATTGAAAATATTCCTACGAAATAAAATGATATGGTGCATTATACTATAGATGTATATCTAAACCAATATGCTTTACATCATTTACTTATATCAAGGAAATAATATAAATAAATAATAAGCATTATATTATTAAGCCTAAAAGAAAAATTACCTTTATCATTATATTTTGCCTAATGATAACTTAGATAAAAAAAAATTACTAATATATTTATAAATTTATTATAATTATATATAAACTTATATAAAACAAGTACATAATAACTAACCATTTAAATTGTATTATTCAAATAGTCCACCATGTTATAGTATTTATCTCGTGGTATTATTCGTGCAGATATTATTATTATTATTATTAATATATTGTAAATATATATCTCATGATTTCATATATATTGAAAAATATTAATTCATTTATTCTTGCTACTGAATAAAATACCTAAGGAGAATATAAATTAAATTATTTTTAACTTATAACAATATATATTTAATTATTATCGTTTTGATATTATTCAACACATTATGCACATATATGTTGGATAAATATATTCACTTATTATATAAATAAACATAGAATATAGCACAGAAATCCTATTTTTTGCATAAAATTCTTTTTTCCATACATTTACAATTAATTTACATTATATAGCTATTATTTGTATAATATGCTAAAATAAGAATTAATAGTATTTTTTGTAATATAATATATTAATGTTTAGGTCATGAAAATTTTAATATAAGCATATACATTTCTGAAATATATATAAATAAAATAGTAAATATCTGAATGTACAATGCAAGAATATATGGATCATATATTAGGATTCATTGTTAGTATTCATAGTAGAAGTTTACTTCAAGTTCATTGTGCCTTAAATTAATATATATATTTTTTTCTTCTAAACATAATTTTTATATGGTTCAGTGTATAAAATTATCAACATTATGTTATATGGATATATGTGAATAGTTTTTTATTAAGGACAATATATGAATTCAATTTTGCAGTTATTCTATGTTTATTATAAAATGGAAATATAAATTTTTTCCTTTTATGAATATTATACAATTTTAATTTATATATCTAAAGTGTATATATTATTCAACCTGCCCTTAATATACATAATGTTGAGTGCTATAAACAATATAATACGTAAAAATTTATGAAATTTTTTTTTTTACATAAGAAGGATTTATGAATAGTACATATTCACATTATATAAATTATTTATATATGTATACATCATAAAATGTTGTATTAAGATTATTTATTCGTTTTTTGATTTTAATATTTTTATATTACCTAATAATATTTTTTTTTTATTTCTAACATTTTTCTCAATGCTCGTGCGATGAAAACCACCTACTAGTATATTATAAACAATACATGTATGTTATTTATTTTAATATATAACACATTTAAGAAATATTAAACTTTATTAATATATGGGTATTACAATACTTATAAATTCGCAAATTATGTAAAAAATTGGCAGCATTATGTATTAATTTTAATAGAAATAATATAAATTTTTTCATAGTATATACATATTTTTATAGTTCTTATAGATTAATCTAAATATTTATTATATTATATTCACCAGAAATGATGGTTTATTTATATGAGGACAATATGTTTTCGTCAAGTAAATCATTAGAATGCCTTATAGATATTCCTGATTTAAAATAAAAATTTTCAATGGAATTATATTTTAGATATATTATTTTTTAATTATATAAAAAATAAATAAATTATAATATTATAAAAAGATGAAACATTTTTTTTATTCATAATCATTTATTATCATCTATATTGTGAATAAAAATAAGATATAATATAATGAGGAAATATTATTTGCTCATGGGAAAAACATTGTTGCAGTATATTATATTAATAGTTAAATGTCGTCATGTATATTTCGTATATCTAAAAACTTGTTTGAACTTTATATTATTATTAAAATTTATATTTTATATGAAGATTTGGGTATAATTATTATTTATTTTCCTTTAATAACATATAAAATTTTGATTGCATTTGTTATGTAAAAAAACAGAATAAGGAAAATAAAGAATTATATTATTTTTATAAGGGATTGAAAAACAATAATCCTTAATATGTCAATATATTCTGGGAATTATTAATTGTAATTTATACATTCATTATAATGAGAATATATATTATTTATTGAATATATAATTGTATTATTCTTATTAAAATAAAATTTTTACTTAAAATATATCTTTTATATAAAATAATACTAAAATTTTTGTAAGCATTATATATATAATTATTATATTAAATACTTATTTTAAAGAGAACTAGAGACAAACTATAATTTCAAAATATATATGTATATAGAGATTGCAAGAAAATCATGGATCTTAATGTGACAATATAAGAAAATACTAAGAAATAATTTATTACGTTATGGAGAAAATAATGTACTAAGAAAAAACAGTAGTCTCTGTCCACATGTTTATGTGATGTTAAAGCATTGTTTTAAAATAAAAAATATATATAATATAATTTAATTATTAATAAGAGTGGAAGAGCTAACAGTTTTAAGCATTTATATAATTCATTAGTGTATTAGTATTTGAAATTAAAAAAATATTTAAAAATAAATAATAAATATAAAATTTTGCATGTACAAAATATTATATAATTCAAATAATGTTCATGGTCTTTTATTATTTTATATATTTAATATTTATTCCTTCGTTAAAAAAAACAAAATATTTCAGTTTTTTTAACCATTTTTACAGATCTGATACTTGAAATTAACAATTTATAGAAGTATACAAATTATAATAAGGATTCACATGATCTAATGCACAAAAAAAAGTTATGATTCAATTATGCACAATATAACCAACATATTATATGTTTTAATATTTCATTTATGGTACTAATAAACATAAATGAAGTAAGCATATCTTAATTATTAAAAAAAAATATAGAAACACAAAAAATTCTTATTATTAAAATATATACTAATGATTATTAAAAAAACATACGCAAAATTAATCATAAATATGCATAATAAATATATGAAGCATTTCAATAGTTATATATTATGTATTTACATGATATATATAGAAATTAATCACTTTTTCTTTATTGCATTATAATACTAATCTATAAATTTCGTGTGTAGTACTATATAAATATATATTTTGTATTATCATTTTGTTTATATTTTAGTGTTTTATAACTTATGGTCTAACTAAGCACGCAATGTACTGTATATTAAAAGGGGACCTGATGTCACTTATTTTGTTCTTATACGTAGTTCATTGAAGAAAGAGATATATTTTAGATATTATTAAATTATTTATTTTGAAAATTTTAAATTCTATATAGAAAAATTAATATAAGGTTTTTACTAAAATTACTGGTATACGTTTATACGAATACATTATAAGAGGATTTTCGCATATTTATTGTTTAATACTATTTATTTTGGTTTAATCAAATAATTACAATGTTTAATGTATATAATGGAAGAATTAAAATTTATGATATAAAATATGGTGTCTACTCTTCATAGCAGGACTGCTCACATTTTTGTACGATTGGAATATATTATAATCTTTATCTATATTATTCCACTTATTTCTTTTTCTTCTTAAAGTTCCTTGAAAGCATGAATTATATGGGGTAAACTATTTAATAAAAAAAATTATATTTTAAATTAATATTATATTAAATTTATATTTATAATTATGTAGCAAATTTATTTATTGAACAAGTATGTATACATATTATAATAATTACTTTATGCATAATAAATAAGGTTAATGTTATTAAAAATATCACAATAATTGTAATTACAATAGAAACTGCCATATTACTTTTTTGGAACAAAGGTAACATTTTATATGTTAATTGGTCGAAACATTGAGTTTTATTTAGTGTATTATATGTTTCCCTAACATTTATTAATTCATTACAAAAATCAGAGTAACTATTGGATTCACATGGATTCTTGTATTCCATATATAGTTGAGCGCACTCATTAGCACATTTACATTTATCTCGGCATTGAAAACTACTATTATTCTGTATACTATTAAGTTTAGTGTACATGTCATGCAAATGTTTGAGCTTTAACATTATATCTTCTGTAATAGTAGTGACAACATAATTTTTGCATATCTCCTTATGGCTTGTAGAATCAGCATTGATCAATTCACCATAAAGCTTTTTAACTTCTTCAATATTCCTTTGATTATTATTATTATAATAATATATCCAATAATACAAATATAAGCAACTGGAATTGTTAAGCATGGTTGTATAATGAGAAGTTTGTATAGTAGTTGTATATTTATCAAATTTATTGCATATGGTTTTAACATTATTACTAAAACCTGGAAAATTTTCATTAGTAATACCTATAAAATTATCCTCATTTAGACTACTACCTGTACTATCGGAATTATTCATAATGTTTTCATATTTAAGAAATTCTTTTGCAATTTTATACTATAAAGAAATAAAAATATATAGTATGACAAAAATTATAATTTACTAAAAATTTTTTATTAGCTTTATTAAAAAATTATATATATAAATATGATAATAAGTAATTTGTATTATATAAAGTTGTACAATTTCATTAGTCATTTTTTATTTGATTATATTTTTTTACACAATATCTGGATAAAACATGTAAAAGACTATAGTGTTCTTTAACATGATAACACAAAGACTGAAGTAGAAAATTTTTTTCGTTTTTTCTTAAGTATAGAATTGATCTAATAAATGAACTTATACCTTGACAGATAAATTTTAAACATAAGAAAAAAATAGTAATAATTATAATATATAACATATTTTTTAATTATAAACAGAAAAATATATAAAGATTATTCAAAAGAACTAGAATAAAATAAAAAAAGGAAATAGGTTGACAGAGGAAAATATTTGTCTAAATTATAAAAATTTTATAATTTTACATATAATATAAACAATAAAAAAATAATATTATATTATTATACGCTATTAATATAAATATATATTTAATAATTTTTATTATTTCACATTTGCGTTTTTTATAGTGATATATATGATTTAATTAAAGCTATATAAAATGTTAGAACATATAATGATAATTTTGTAGTTTATTTATTTCTCTTACGTAATAAATGATATAAGCTTATTGAAATGCGTTATTAGCATTTGCGTAAAATGGATATCAATATTATATATTAAAAGTTATAATGGATGTAATAATATGTCATATATAGTATACATTTATATTACAATAATATATAACCTTCTAAAAAAATTATATTTATATTTTTTTATTCAATTCATATAAGTGAAGCATATACTTATGCTGCAGAAACTATTTATTAAAAATTTAGATACTCTCAACAAAACACTTATATTAAGGTGATGTGTAAACATGAACGATAAGTTATTTAAGCAATTCGTATTCGTATACTATATTTCACATGTTATTTACTTTCATTTCTCTAATATGATCAGTTTTAATAGAAATGATAACAATAAATACATGAAAATATTAGTTATATAATATAATAAATATATAATATATTTTAAGTCACTATTTTTCAAGAATTAACCGCTCCTTATAACATTTGATTAATGCTTTATTTATGAGCATTATATATATCAAAATTATTCATTCTAGTTATGAAATACAAAGCATTTTGTGTTAATACTATAATAACACGTTGAATGTACAATTTATTATGTCAATAAAATGCGACATTAACGTAAAAATTATTCCCTATATTTTATCATGTAATGTAAAAAAATAATATTTTTTTTTTTATAAAAATTTTTTTTCCTGATAGAAAAATATATTCTCTACTAAGAAATAAAAACATTAATTATTACTGATGTTTGTCATAATAAATTTTCTTTGCAATTTTGTATATTTTTTATTATTAAAAAATTGTTACTTTTCAATAAAATAACCAATTTAATGGTATAAACAATATATAATTCTTATTAGTAAAACTAAATATACATTAATGAATTTGTTTAATATATGTTTAAGTTTAAATTAGTTAAATATATAATATATACAATGATAATTTTGCTTTAAAATAAATGTTATTACGATTATGAATCTATAATAATGATGCTATTGATGAAGAATATTTTTATTTTTGTTATGTTGTACTTTAATGCTTTATAACATATAAATATATTAATAAATAATTATTTCCTTATTAATTAATTACGTAAATAAAATTATAATCAATTAACGTTAATAATGTGTAACATATTATTTTATTTCTAACATTAATGATGAAAACACTACATTAAAAAAAGTATAATATATTAATTCTACAGAGAGTGAGAAGCTTGTACATAAATGACACTGTAAGATAATAACACATAGCTTTTAAAAAATATGGATCTATATATATACTCTTCCTTTTATAACACTCAAATGAGTTCATTAAACTGTTCCAATGAAAGAGGATTATTTAATATAAAGTATATGACCTGTGCAAAAAATTAGAAATATAAAAAAAAGTAGCATATTAAATAAATACATATATTCAAATAATAAAATTAATCACTTAAAAAAAAATTAGGTAAAACTCTAAAATATTATATAATAACAAAAGAATAGAAATATGAAATACATAATGAATCGCTATGTTAGATCCTGAGCAATTCTATGAAAAAGCTGTACAGTGAAAAAGTATTTAATATATAAATATATACCGAAATCATGTGTAATTATTGAAAAGGTAACATATATAATATATCATGGATATGTTTTTATAATTTTCTAAATATATAATATGCAATTCATAAAAAATATATATCATTAATATATTATCCTCTAGAATTATAAGAATATTCAACAACATATAATGATATAATGTTTATATGAAAACCTCATACATATATATATAAATTTAATTATTATTTTGATAAATATCACAAATATTATATGTCAAATTTGATAGATAAATATTCTTCTGTAAATAATTATTAGGATGGTTATAAAGCTTTGTCCATATTCTAAAGTAAAAAATGAATTGAAAAAATAAATTTAAAAAAGCTTTAAAATACTAGAAATATACTATACAGAATATAAAGGCACAAAATGTTGGGCTGAAAAGGTATATGTTAAAAATAAATACTTTTCCATAAATTAATAGTAATATTTAGAAACCATGTCTTTAATATCCTTCTATATTAAACAACATTATCTAGTATATTCATATATTATATTCTTTTCATTCCATATATAAAAGGAATAAAGCACGTTTAATAATGGTAATTTATATTCAATATCTTATTTTTTCAATTTTTTATGATATACGCTAAAAATAGTGTAATTGATTACTACGTTTCTCACATTCATACAAAAACAATCTTATTAAAATATATTTAAAATATAATATAATCATTTTTACTTAATAAATAGACTTTTATATAGGTACATATTGTCTATTACATATATATTTTAAAAAATAGCGATATTTATATTTCTCGCAATACCATTTTCGTATATATTATATTTCTTTAACGATATATCATGTTCTCATAGAACGTATTATATAATATTAAAATTTATGAACATAAAAATTAATTCTATTTTTTTTTGTATTATAATAAGTTTATTCGTTTTACTGTTTATGATTTATCCTATAATATAATGTTTCTTAAAATATTATATTAATATTTTTATAATTATTTATTACCATAATGTAATATTAAAGAATTTTACTTCCTTTCATGTATATATATAATTATTGATATAATTTAAAACATATACATATGATTATTATTTTATATGTCTATATTTATTGTGTGACATAATTTTGAATTATCTTCCTATATTTTTATATAGCACATAACATTGCAGATTAATGAATTGTTTAGATTTTTATAGATGTAAGTATTTCTTGAGGCATCTATTAATAATTTTTTAATCATAAATAAATATAAAATAAACAATAATATACACAAAAGAAATGGATAATTGTATTATTCAATATATAATATATATTAAGAAGAAAACTTTATACATCACATTTACTAACACAGAACATTAATAAATTAGAAAACATTATACATTCATTTAATGTATATTGTGTATAATGACCATGGAACATATATAAGATAAAAATATAGAAAAAGACTTAAACATTAAGTACATTTATCTATTGATTAATATGATTTCACATTATTTTTCATAATTCTCCTATTATTTTAAAATAAATATATTCAAAACATATTAATTGGTTAAAATATTTTTCCATACAAATTTATAAAAGACCATAGATTGTAATTACATATGAATTCTTATAATTCATAATTCTTTTAAAAATGAAATAATGAACATTTTATAGATGTCATTTAATTAGTTTTATTGTTATATGGATGTTAAAATTTAGAACAATGCAATGAAATCATTATAGATTAAAACAAATTAGCAACGGGGCACGAAGAAGTATAATATGAATAAGGATTATTTGATAAATTTAATGATATAATTAATTTTTATTATAGTTTCTTTTAACAAGAGTAGTGTAATATTACACAAATCTAAGAACTACCAATTAGCAGAGAATATAAAAAGATACGCATTGGATACATTCTTTCATTAATGCCTTATTATATATTTCATATTATAACAACATGAAGTAGATATATGTATAAAACTGCATTACATATTTTATATTATCAAAATAGAATTATGAAATATGTAATGTAAAAACATGCATTTATATATTTATTGTAATGATTATATTTTATTTAAGTACACGAATTACAACAAAATCACAAACTATTGTTTTTCATCAGATAATGTGCTATAACACGACATATTAATGTATAATCTATAGCATCTAGAAATATATGTTCTAAAAGATGAATGCAACTAAAATTATTATTCAATAAAACATTACTAATTCAAATATTAGAATGAATTACTGTTTAATTAAGGTAACTACAATTTGTACATGAGAAGTAACCTTGTATATGTTTGAAATATATTATATATAATTCCTGCAGAAAAGTGAATAAAATAAATACATTAGAATATTGTATATGCAATATTTTTTTTTCTTATAATCTTTAATAATAAAATAGATTTGAATCAACCGAAAAAAAAATAGGACTGTGATTTTTTTCAAAAATATCCAAGCATGTTCATTATATGCACTAAAGCAAAATATGTGTTTATGTAGACAAAAGGTTTAAATATATGCATTTCAGATACATTAGATTATTCATTCATTTGTCTGTATAAAATGCATTTTTAAAAACCATGGAACACACCTTATGGCATATGTATATTATTAAATATATTATATATCATTTAGTTTGCAACTTTCTCAATTTTACGTGAAGCATATATACTACAATTCTGTATAATAAATTATGAATATAGATTTTTATTCTTTTGTGTTTTCTATTATATCTTGAGCAGAAAAGAAACAGAAACAGAAACAGAAAAAAATAAATAATTTCTTAGGTATTTCTTGAAATATCAGCTGCACTTCTACATGATATAACTCAAAGGCAGAGGAAAAATAAGAATATATTGTTAAGATACTTATAATATGCTCAATAATGAAACATATAATTTTATCTTAAATGAAAAGACATTTATATGTAGCCAGAAATATGATCGCATAAATGATATTATTAAAATTAATAAAATAGGAGGAAAATTATTTATCATATATTATATATAAAAATTTAGCTCTTCATATGAATACATTCATAGTTTTTTTGCCTCGTTAATATTATTATATAAACATATGTATGTTACTATATTTTTTTAGTACACATACTTGAATATTAGTCTTAGGTAAAAAATAACATTCTTTATTTATTATTTAAAGGAACACTATTGCGATCTTATATTATATATAGTAATAAAAAAGCATATGTCATTTATATATGTATTATATTGCTTTACTATATTCTATTTATGTTATAATAAATTGATCTAAATCTTATATGAATATAAAATTAATCAATACATAATAGTACATATTATAAATATATATTATTTAATGATATATTATAATTGTAATAAACGAAATATATAACAAATAATGAGTGATTTCCTAACAAGATGTAATAATTTCGAATAATATTTTGGATAATTCTTATGTTATGCTGTATATTATGCTTAAAATATATAAAATTATTATAATATTATTATATTTTCTGTATAAATGATAATAATGATTTAATATTTTACTTATTTTATATTTATATTATATATGGCGGTATAATTATATCTTTTAAATATATTATTTTCATAATATTCTAAATATTCTTTTAATTATTACTATTAGTTATTTACAGTTTTTTTTTATTTTATAAGAATATGTATTTTTATATTTATCATATAAAAGAATTATAATTTCTTTATATTTTTTAAATTAGTATTTTTTTGAGGAAATAATTACAGATATTCATAAATGATTTACCATTAATTATGTAAAAACATAGAAATATTTGTTCTTAGAATTGTTCGTAAAAACATAAAAATATTATAAAATATAATTCTAATTAATAAATTAAGTATAATATGTTATTTACATTTATTGTATCATAAGAGACATAAAAATATGAAATGAAATCATATAATAATTCTTAATATTTTCTAGTACTATAATAAAAATTTTGTTTGAAATATTTCTAATTTTCATTTTTTACTATAGATCACATTGTGTATTTTACCATATAGCGTTTTTTCCTATAAAAGAAAAATATCAAGTCCAGATGTTAATTATTCTTTTTAATCTTATTATTATTATATGTTATACATGATGGACGATGTAAGCATATATTTAATAATAATTAAAATTAGTTTATATAAATCTTGAAAATAATTTATTGAAGAAATTGCTACCATAATATTTATAAAAAATGTATATATTAGTTAAAACCTTTATGATTTTATTCCTCTATAATAGGCATTGCAAAACATATCTAATATAATCTGCACATCTCTATTATATATTTTATACATTTTTCAATTTAATAAATTTATTATTATTAGAGGAACTCATGATTTTTTTGCTTAATATGTACATGTGAATATATCTTAAAATATAATATAAATATTTTTTCATTATGTAATATAACAGCAAAAAAATAAATTATTAAAAAAAAAAATATAACTTCATTATATAGTAATTATGTAAAATCCATGTTAATTCATAAAATATATATATTGAGTATAAATTTATAAGTATTCAGAAATTGCCTTATAAAAAAAAATGAAATAACTGAAAGGGACAATTTATTCCAACAATTATACATTTTACCTTAAAAATATTTTCATTTTTTCTTATCTTTCATTAGATTTACTCACAAATTTTTACATATTGTAAATTTGATATAGTCTATCATATAACAGTTATTTTTTTTTTGAGTTGTTTTGCAAAGTTTCCCTTACTGCGTTATAACGCATAATGATTTAACTGTGATTGCATTTACAAGTATTCCAAATCTGTAGATATATAATAATGTTGTATATTTTTTAAAACAAAAATTTATTACTGGGCTACATTAACAGTAATCTCATTGGAATAATCATATTTGCAAAAATATAAAAATTTATAACAAAATCTAATGCTGCTAAACCTTTAAACCTAAACCCTATACCCTAAACCCTGAACACAAAATTGTACATAAAGAACCCTTTAATATTCTCTTATAAATATTAGAAAAGATAAATTTTTCTTTCTAAAAAAATATTTTCCTCGAATAATCAATTTTTTCTATAGCAAAATTTAGTATTTTATGTTGTTTTTTATATATATACATGAATATTTAATTTTATATAAATTTTATTGATTATTATTAGCAATATAGGGAAATATAAGGGCTATAATGTAAATCTTTTTGCTATGCACCAAAATAATAATATGTATTTTCTTATATGTAATATCATGAGCCCATAAAATGAAATATATATACATGCGTTATAATATGTTACTATCGATATCACTGGTTAATAATATTCAGAAGCATAATGCTAGTTCATATAGTGTTCATAGAATAAAATATATAATACTTATCTTACAACAAAGTATATGAAGTAACCTGAAATAAAATAATTATATGATCACATTATTATATAACATTTATTATTTATTTTATAAGATTTTATTATTCTGATAAACATGTACAATGTATCCAATAATAAGTAAAAAAAAGGCAATAAATATAGAAATTAATAGAACAGTGTCATGTAATGAATATTACTGATTTATAATTTACCTTTATATATTCATGTAAAATATAAATGTTTAATTATTCAGATGTTAGAATTATTATACAACTGATTTACCCATAATATATATATAGAGAGAAACGTATATAATTCACATACATTGAGTTATATCTATTTTTTATATTTATATTACATAAATTTATTTATACATATTTTATAGAATACATATATATAATTCAAATTTTTTTTTAATATTTATTATATTATGCTTCTACAATTTTTTACATAATAATAAGGTGCTAGAACGTGAAAGAAAAAATGAAATTAGAAGTACTATTGATAATATTATTCTATTTTAATATAACATATTTATGTACATTAAGAATTGTAATCTTACAGTTGAAAAATAATTTTTCCATATAGCTATATATATGCTCTCAGAGTTCCCCCTTAAAATATGTTATAATAAATTCTTTGAAATATTTCTATTTTCGAATTTTAATTATTTTTTAATTTTGTATGTGCAACATAATATAGAATACAATTATGGCTGATGGTTCTACATATGTAAACATTTTAAATTACTATTAGAAATTTTAGGAAATTTAATATAACTTTTGCTTTTTTATTTCATGATATAAAATAAATAACACAATTATACTCGAATATTTAAATATATACATTCTTCAATAATTCACTTTTATACTTTAATTTTTAGCCTTTTAATACAAATGAATTAACTTATGAGAAGTATTATAATATGCTGAATACAGGAATTCAAAATGTATCTAATATTTTCATGTTTTGTGCTGTTCAAGATGATAATTCAATAAATCATTACCCAAGTATTAAGGAATTCTGTTCAAAATTAACACATTATTTAATAAATGAAAACAAAAATTTGAAACTATATAATTCGATCAATGATTTTTGCAATATATTAAGTTACTGGTTATACGGAAAATTAGAACAAATGTGTAAAAGTGTTAAGTGTAAGGCTAACGATATTTATAAAAAAATTTTCAATATATTAATCCGGATTTCTAAATCTACACTTTACAGGGAGAAATTTTTTTTCAATTGTAAAATAGATTCTAATATAAATTTGAAGAATAATTGGGTAATCGAAAGAAATTATTTGATTATTATTTGGACTATAAAAAAATTAAGGAAAAGTATAATGATGATAAAAAAAATTGTAAAGCATATCATAGTTATTTTGTTGATAAAGAAGAACCATACCTTCAGTTTGTGGCAGATTGTACATATAGTAGTGGAACTGAGTGCCCAATACCATATGAGAAATTTAAAAATTGCGATCCAAGAGAATTGCAAAAATATTTTAACTGCCAAAAAGAAGCACAAGAAGAAATTGCGAGTTTAAAAACGTCATCTCCTGAAACATCAGACATCTATCCAGAAGCATCGGATGATTTTTCTAGTGCACCAATCATTACTTCAACTGATGAAATTAGTGATGGTAGACTAATAGATGAATATGAAACGCCTGAAGAATCTTATATAATAGATAATGGTTTAAGTCCTCTAGCAGTGTTTGGTAATGTCCTTTTAGGAGGAATAATCACTTCATTACTTGTTGGTGTTTTATATAAAGTAAATGCAGAATTGTTTTATATATATAAATCATACTAACATGCTAGTATTATGAGTTACATAATTACGTATTATAAATTTATAAAATACTTATATTTCATATTATTCTTTCTTATAACAGTTTACACCCATAGGTAATCAGTTAAGAAATATCATGGTAAACAGAATGAATACATTTGGACATATAAAAAAAGAAAGAAATGAATTATATAATGATGTATCAGAATATCTTAATCCTTATTATAATGATCCACAAGATCATTACGTAGGGTACAGCTCTTTGTAATTTTTTTTACTTCTAAATATTTAATAATATGTTATACATTAATTACAATAATGTTAAATATACAAATAATGAATCATGAAATATTTGTATTCATATATAAAAAAAAAATGGTAAAATAAATAAAATTATAATAT